AAAATAAATGAGATACTATTAATGGTAATAATAATTTAAATTTTATGATGATTAATTGATGTATAACATTTAATTATATCATTCCATCTACTTTTAATTTTGATAAAATACAAATAATATTGTGAGATAATCATTGATATTATTTTATTTAATAACACTTATTTAAATCAATTTACTTTCATTCAATTTAAACAGAAAATGAATGATAAATATAATAATTAATATCAAATGAATAAGAAATTAGAAATAAATATATTTAATTTTATTCAGTACATTAACTAATGATTGATACAATTCATCAACCAACAGATTAATAACAATAGTACATATTCAAATGATGGAACATGATAATTTAATATATTATTATTGATTTGAAACTTTTAAAACACTTTAAAATGAATTATTGAGAAATATCAACATAGTTATAATGAATATTAATTATTAAAAGTAAATTTCATGTTCATTTGTTGAGTAATTGTGAAATATGAGAAAAAAAGAGTAATATATGTAAAATGAAATATTGAATAATAATAGCAATGAATCAATTAGTTAATGATATTCATAAATATTATTTTTCAATCAATTACCAATACAATCAAAGAGTTAAATAATAAATGAAATAACATAAAACATAGAAATTGTTTATAATATCATTTTTTATAATAATCTTCACAAAAACAACAAAAAGATTGTTTTATTCATAAAATGATGAAATGATGTAAAAATAATGAATAAAATGAACTAAAAATAAAGAATTGAACTATTTAATGAAAGTCACTAAATCAACAAATTATAAAAGAAGAGAAATGAAACAACTAGACATGGTTTATTTGATGAAAGTAGCACTTCATGTTAAAGACATGAATGACATCAAAAACATTGAAATGATTAACAAGAAATGTGGAGTTGCAATTCACTCATTGAAAGTTAATCCATGGTTTACATCAGAAAGAGATGTTAATCAATTTTGTAGAATATTTAATCCACCAACATGTAATTGTACTTTACTTCCAGTTGATGAGTCAATATTAATGAAAGTTGAGAATATCAGAAATTATATTTTTGATAGTTTTGTATTTTCAACAACATGAAATGATACAAACAAAATATTTGGTCAACACAAAACAATTATTACAAAAGAAGACAGAGAAAGAATGTCTAAAATTATTCAAAAAGTAGAGTCTTTGATTTATTTTTCTTATGCCTCAGATGAAATAATAGAAATTATCATTCAAAATATGAAGAAAGGAATTAAAATAAGATGTAATGAAATGTTTCAGAGGTATTTAATGAAACATTTGATAAAATGAAAATAGAAGAATCACTTTATCCAAGTGAAATGATAACTTATGTGTCAAATAATGTTAATGGAATTAAAGCTCGAGAGAATAAAAATATCATTCTCATTTATGAAAGAGAAAGTCCTATTAAACACGAAATAGATATACCAAAATGAATTACAATTTATTCTTCAAGTATAGTTTTGTCTGAACAAAACAATGAAAGAAATATTAAATTTTTTAAATCACCCAGTAGTTCATTATTTTCAAATACAAAAATAACATCATTTAATCCAACGGGTACGAAAATAAGCAAAGAAAAAATGCATCTAAATAATTTACAAAAAAGAAAAAAGATGCAAAAAAATTTGCATCCATAGAATTTTCCACTTTATTATATTTTGCTCCTAACAAATAAAAATAAATAAAAAATAAAAAGTATGATAAATACAGAATATATAAATATTTATGTTTATATTTTATAATCATTTCTATTCATTTTGTATGAAATATTAATGAAGTAGATTATTTGATTATTCATATTTATTTTTATTATTTTTTTCTTTTATTTATATTTATCTATCGTATTTTTATATTTATTTCTCTGTTTATATTATTTATATCATTGTATTCTTCTTATTATCTATATATTATTATATTTTTCTTATTTTATTATTTTTATGTTTATATTCTTTAGATTTTCTTATTGTTATTCTTTTCTATTTAGTTGTATTTGTTTATTTGTTTATTCATCTTATTCATCTTTTATATTCTTATCATTTATATCTATTTTCATTTTATATTTATTCTGTTTTTATTTATATTAATATTAATTTTATCTTTTATATTTTGATTTTATTATTATATCATTTATTATCATTTCTCGTTTTATTTATCATTTATTCTTATTATTCTTTTGTTTTATATTCTATATCATATATTCATATCATTTTCATTTATATTTTATCACTTATTATATGTTATAATAACATAACACATATGATTGAATATATAATAAATATCATGTTTAAATTATACATATAAATAATAAA